TGCTGTTGGTGGTGGATTGGAGAGGTTAGTTCACTATATCCATTACGAGAAAGCCCGGATACCAACCGGAAGTAGTGCACGCAAACTAGCGGCTTGTCTTTCTTAACTTTGCCTCCTACTTTTTGAGTAACGTCACTCATGTTGAGGGCCAATGGTCAGAGATTTTAAGGCCAAAAATTGCTTTTATTTATGACAGCGGATAATCGTAGTCAAAAAAGCAAAGAACTGAGCTGAGTGAATCAAAAGTTCGTCAAAATAACCTGTGACTTAAAACAGGGGACCGCATCTAATGATAAGTTGAGGTACCCAAAAATAAAATTGACGTATTTTCATGGGGGTTGGCAAAACGTCTAAAAGAAAATGGTTGGAGCGGTTGAAAGCCACTGTGAAATGCATACAGAGCTACTGGCTTGCTACCAGACTGGGTAGGCAGTCACAATGCAGTAACCGGGACGTCCCGCTTTGATTTACAGGGAGAGCCGCGCACGAAAGTATTGGACGAAGCACCTGGAGTTTGTGTATTCATCCACGACCTTTTGGGGTAACCGAGTAGTTGAGCAAGAACGCTATTTTAATACAGCGAGGACGCCCTTTAGTTCGTTGGCAGCACCGAGTGGTTGGTAATTGATGAACTTTCATTCAACGTCTAAGACTAGGCGGGTACTCGGTGAAAGTGACCCTAAATGGTAACCAAAGCGCGGTAAATAAAATGGGTTATAAAAATTGAAGTGGTAGATAGCATACCACAACATATAATAGAGGAGGACTCGCACAAATATTCAACGTTGTATTGTTTGCCGCTGGCAAACGCACTTCACAAATAATTAAAAAATTTATGTTCGCCAAATCACCAAACAAACTGGTGATCGAAAAGTGACTTCGCCAAAGCTTGCAGTGAGATGCGGAATCTAGTAACCTCAATGTGCTACAAGCTGCAACTCTATCCTGAAATCACTAGCGATGGCGTTGGAGTACCAGTCAACAGGCCGCTTCACCATTTTCGACAGACTTTCGCCTGTTCATTTTTCTAGATCTTCCCATGGATCTACATGTATGAACATCCCTGCTCCTTTAACTGGCGTTAAACGTGGATGATTCGTGGCGATGTTGTATCTCAACGTAACATGGATCGTTCTAGTTCTACTGTGCGACGCCATTCTCGCCGTTTCACGATACGCCATTATTTTAGCTTTAACTGTTTACGACCTATCCTGCTCTTTGTTAACCATGAACCATCATGTCTACAGAACGACAGCTTATTTCTTTTGCAACCTTCGGAGCAAAAAGCCTGAACTTCAAAATATACTTGTCTTCCCGGGAAGAGTTTCATCACGTCGAGTCTATGGTCATTTACGTCAACGTTCATTCAAGTAATGCGAACGATTGCCTAGCGTCAGCACCTTCACTCACCCAAAAGAAATCATGTAGACCAGCTGATACTACTACTGAATTTCTCCGATACTGAGAGAAAACATTTGGTTACTTAAATGCTGATCCGGAAGCTGTTGGATCATTATGGAAAATGTGCGGCTGCATTTGGCTTCATCTTGTACTAGACATTCAAAACTTCAGATTTCAGAAGACGGATATTTTACAACCAGCTTCAAGGGAAAGTGTGATTCCGAAAAAAACTTACCATCGTCTCTCGGAAAACTTGAAGAAGTAATCAGCCCGTGGTCCAACAGCCTAAAAGCCACCCAGGATGAATTAGTCATCGAGAAATGACGTTGAATTTAAACGCCAAAATTTAGTTATATGAGGCCTATAGGATGAGCTGGCTTTTCGTGAGATGAAGGGCCATCGCAACTCACGAATCCACTATCTAACCTTCTAAAATCAGACCATGATAGTAGATTCTGTCAGAAAGCAGTAATTATATAGGTGGGGCGCTGACAAAATAAGCCGCCGAAGATTAAAAACATAGGATCCACGAAGGACCTGATAGCAACGACCGAAGCCTATAGCTGGCGCGATCCAGGTTTGTATTCTGCCCTAGCAACCAGATTACATGCAAGACTACAAGAGTGAAGTACGAGAATCTAACGAGCTTGACTTTCAGGGAAGGAGCATTCGAAAACTTTTGCACAGGATGGATTGCGTCGGCGTGCTGGAAACTGATGGAATGCCCCTTATGGACCTAATGAGAACAGCACACAGCTCGGCCAAATATTACCTCCCCATGAGTCGCCCGGCGATCGACAATGCGAACTTGCCCTGACTATAAATGGATTTATTGCCGCCGTAATCTGTTAGATTAGTGGCCGTTGTTTGAGCAGCAGCTTGCGCCTGTAGGTCTCACTAATATACCATGTAAGATGATGGAACCTCTTCCGCTGCAAGCCGTTCTGAACCGCGTCATCACCAGCAAGTTGGTATACTACCCAGACGTAGATAACCACAAACCATCTTTGCTCGACAAATATGCTTGTGTGCACAAGCAGCGGCTTCGAGCCAATCAAATACCCATAATGAACACCATGCTTCGCGACTTTTCAATGCAGACGGCCAATTTTCCAACGATCCGCTCCTTACGGCTATGAAATTCGAAGGAAGCTTTAACTTAGCTAAAGCCCCTGTCCGAGAGGGCGTCTTTAATAACACTCGGACCGGTCCACTGCTTTCGCCAATGTCCTTCATTGAAGTTTTAAGGCTCCATCTTACGTGGACTTTTTCTGCCGACGCTAGCAACCTTCTCAACTGTAACAAAGACATATTCTGCTTTTTTCGGACGACATGAAACTCTGTGTTTCCAACGCCACTGCATTTGAAACCAGTGCCGACGAAAAAATCAGTAGCCACTGTACCACTATCTTCCTCTGGCCGATGGTAAGTGCATTCTCATGTCACTAGAAGGGAAATAAACAGACATCTTCGTCACAAATAGTGAGAATAGTCTGGGTTATATCACGAAGCGGAGTAGCCAAAGTACTCGGGTAACCGTCGCTTTTCACGTATGTGCTTCTGAACTCATTGCGAAAATAAGAATTTGCCGGCGTTTGCTTGTCCCCCAGTTACTTGGTCTACTTTCTCGCACATCATTCGCGTGGTCTTCCAAATGCACCGCAAACGACGACCAGATGTGAGATCCGGGCGCCAAAATGTTCAACCCACCTACACCACGTCTAGCAAACGGATGCAGAGATGGTCGCCGTCTGGAATCGTCGAAAAGACCTTTGCTTCCTTTTTCCAGGATGTCTGGGCCTCTCAGGTGGCCTGAAGCTTACCGAAGGCTTTTCGAGTAAGATTTAGTCGGTAAGTATCCAATCACCGCTCAGTATTCACACAATGGACTTGATTTCTCGAAAGCTGCTACACTTCCAGGGTCGCCACGTTGCACCGTAGAATGTCTATGTATAATATATATGTTGATGCACTATTGCGAATTATATATATTGGTGGTTTGCTAAAGTGAGCGAATCTTCAAGGTCAATAAAAAACCACTAACCCTGAATATGTTGCCAATTGTAACTGCCCTCTGTCATCACGAAGGTATACAGCTTGTACCTACGAGCGGAATATTAACTGCTTCAAAAAACGCACTCAAATGGTTTGTCGCCTACGTTCAGTCTACATTCACTGCATCTGAAATGCGTCGGAACAACGCTATCTTCTGCCATCGGGAAAGGCGTGTGTGACCATAGTGACCTTCGTCTGACTGCCACACAGGCACGCGTCTGGTCTCCCGAAGTTTTGCCAGGACCGAAGGCATAAAACACAACTAAGCGCCACCTAATCCACAGAGCCGATAGATACTTCCGGCGATATTTGTATATATCCCGAGTGGAAAGGATCTCGTCGAATTCAACGGTTGTAAACGGCCGCACTCACGCGACGGCGCTCCATAGTTCAGAAGGGTTACTCAGCTGCCCAACTTGTCTTCGGTTTGCCGTTCATTGGCCGTCAGCCGATCGTACAAGAACTTCGACAACTTAGGTTTGTGTTCAAGAAACTATGGCGTGGGTGCCAGGTGGTTATTATGCCTACGTTGACAAAACCGCACCGGACAGCCGGTGATTCGTGTACTGATATTTATTGGCAAACGCGCTCAGATTACTAGCTTCTTTGGATTCCTCGATGTTCCGTTGGTCCTTGAGGTCACCTACTGCAATTGAAGAACACCCATTCGTAACGCAAAACAGCGTTGGTGCTTCGATTAATGGAAAAACGCACTAATACCATATAGTTATTCTACATGTATTGATTTAAAGCCTTTTCGAATGCCGTGGAAAATGAGAAGAATACAGCCCCAAATTTCTCAACAACTGCGTATAAAGCCACTTCCGGAACCACAGCACAGCACGTTCAAAGTCGAATGTGAAGCAGAATTTTCAATAAAGGATTGATTAAAAAACCACAAAAATGGCGGCAGATTAGGGTTATTTTCGGTCTGACCACAAATACAAACGAACGCAAAGTTTCGACGTAAAACGGCTTTGCGGAAAAATGCATTGTGCCTCTTAGTCACGGCAACTTCACCTCGGAAAGACCTCCAGCGGATGAGAGAGCGAAACTTTATTATGCAACACTTTTCCTCACTTTGGGTGGTTCTTGAGTGAAATAACTACCGGTAGCGGACTAGGACCTTATCAGCGCGTTCGGACAAATTAACAAGCAAAGTAAACAACACAAAATCACAAAATCACAATAGGAGAAGAATGAGTAGTCAAATGGGGACTCACGAATGTGTAGATCCAGTAGTCCACTACACCGATCCAAATGCAGTAACTGGCTGTGAAAGGAAATATTCACTTGTCGAAATTTCCCACAGATGGTTCCGCGTGAGTGATATATTCCACGGTAGGAAAATTATTCACGGCTAAAAATGTCACAGGAATTTATTGTGACGTTCAACAGTTGACACAAACACAGAGATTTAGTCCCACTGGTTCAACAAGTCAACAAAAGTTCAACGGAGCCTAAATACGCTCGTTCAGCAAGAGGTCAGCAGGTCGCCCCGGAAAAATGTGTATTCGTAACATTAAAACAAACGTCATGATACAATGTGTACGACAGTTACAAAGTTTGGTTCAAGTTCAGGAAGAATGGTAAATGTGACAACGGGTTACGGAGTGAAAAAACTACCCATCCACAGTTGTCGGCGTTGCATTCAATTCAGATCAACATTAGGCGTTTCTTTGTGTGAGTTCACGTGATGGCACCCTAGCAGATAGAAGGTGAGACCTCAAGTAGTGATGATGTATTCCTTGTTATGTTGGGTTTTTAGGCGGACCGAGGCAGCTCAAAAACAAACTGTTCCATGAAGGCAGTGCAAACGCATCGATCACTCGTATCAGTCAATCTGGAGCAATTAAGCACATCTCACTCCCTTTACGAAACTATAAAAGCACGCTGTTAACTGGGTTAGTGTTCCCAGTAGTGGCAGTGAAACGAATCTATGGGCGTGCTGCTGCTTTTACGTCGGTGAGTTGCTTTTGGATAACTTTCTGAACTCTCAGCAGTCTATCCACGCAACGTTTTCTCTGGTGCGTTCGCAGGACTAATAGTTGCACAATAACCGATGAGGGTGGTGAAATTATTCCGTATTTTCCAGAGGTTAGATTATACTTAGGCACACAACACTGCTTGATCCTCAAGAAATCCTCGAAACTTCGTTGGGTCACCTCCGCATGGCCTTGAAGCGATGACCTTCGGCACGCCCCTTGAATATCTCAAGTTTTAATGGTGAGCTCTGCTTGCTACCTTTTTAGGTTGACTAGATCCGATGTATCTGGGGAATGTGCTCGTAGATGGCATGGAATTTAGGGCTCTAGTATTCGATTTGATTTTGTACCTGCTACAGCTACGCTTCTTAGAAGTTCCGGCGATAGGTTTTAGGTATCAGGAACAAAACACGCTTCGTGTATCTGATCGATTTTGGACATATCGACCTTCGGCAGGTTCGCGAAAGACATTGTGCCATACGTACCTCGCAAAGCGTACTACAAACGGATATACCCAACGTCACCAATCGGGAAGTGGAAGAAATTGCGTCCTTGTTTGATGGAACAAAACCCTACCTCGTATTTTATTAAGATCTGGTCAACTCTTGGCATATATGGTTAGATTCTGTTAGATTACTGGAACCAAGTACAAATGAGTATAGCAGAAGACTAAGGGAAAAAGCCAGCACAAAGATGGGTATTGTTTTATGAACCTGTTGAACGAACCAACGATAACACACGAAATGAGGCCGATGTCCTTTTTCCCGATTCGGTATCAGTTGTCCTGCTCTGACCGGGTCAAGGCAGCAGGCCATCATGGACGTGCCTGTGCTTGCACAGAATCAATTTCCTATCCTCGTGTTTTTTTTTAGATACAGACATCCAAGTTATGGAAAGCCTTTAGAATGTGGTGCCAAGCCTCTCATCCTCCTCCCAGAAAAACTAAAAATCATAGCCAGCTGTAAACTATCTTAATGGTCTCGCTTTCATTGAGTCGAATTTTTTTGGAGGAAGCCTGTCCCGGTATTTGGCAGTCCTGAATGAAAAGGTCCTGTCGGACGAGGGTCTTAGGCTCTGTTTGTATACCTTCTTCACCTCTTCTCTCAGTAACAGCAGGCAGGGAGGTGGAACCTCAAATGAATCTTCAGCTTCACCGTTCTTGAATATCAGGCTTCCTCTGCAGAAACTTCAGTAAGAAGAAACCTCATGCAAATCAGCCGCGGTCTTCGTTGCCCCATTCACAGTCTGCAGCAGCTTCTCGTCTTTACTACGGCCTGAAGTGGTGACTTGGATGGCGTGTCCCAGCCGCGGTCGGCATGGGTCTTGTCTAAGAGCTGGAGATCTGCCTTGTGACCTTTAGGAACGACTTATTGATTGCGTTCAGAAGTCCGTCCAACTTACATATCGGGAGTCATCTTCATCACCGTCAGCAATATCAGTGTCGACACTGATGCTTCCCTGCCGTACATCCATAAGGTTCGTCTAATAATAGGTAAAGCCCTAGAGTGAATGGAGTAAAAGGCTGAATAGGGAAGGGGACCTAATGCTGGCCCATGTCAAGCATTCTGAGGTACCTACATCCCCAAGCACTCAGTCAGACAACCTGGAAGGAAACTGACAGGACGAGCGCCACTGACATCGATTAGCCACCATTTCTTACAACGCCTCCAGCTGAGCACAAGTGGAGTCACGGGGACCCGTGTACAACACCAACAACACCCAAAGTCTTCGTGGTCTCTTTCACACCCCTCTGTCAAGTCATGCGTTGTCCACGTTGCGGTTTGCATCATTCTGAAGGAGGCGCGGAGAATGACACTCGTCTCGGTAGACGGTGTTTTGGCATGCGTAACACATGACCGAGCCGTCGCATTTGGTGGTGCTGGAAGTTTGTACCGATTGAAGTACCTGTCCCACAATTAATTACCCGTTTTCTACCTCGTTACTAACACGCTGACGCCACCCAAAACCAGCCACGCTTCTGAGGCATCTATGGTCGAAATCCTGAAGATGCCTCACATTATCTGTCCGAGGAGGACAACACAGCCCTTAATTTAGCCTGGCACACGCGACCACCACAAGTGACGCAAATTAGCAAATGTGATTCGAGCCTTAAAGGTTCTTGCACGGGCTTCATCAGACACATTTCCGTCAGCGCTAATACAACTACCGAGGTATGCGAAAATTTCCACAATCTCCAGTTATTCTCCTTGAATTTTGAGAGATATATTCGGAGACTGCACGTTCTGAAGTACGGTCTGAAGTATGCCTTTGCACTTTGAAGCTGCAAGGCGCATGCCAGAAGATGGTATGATGGTGGTCAGTCTATTAAACAGGGCTTGTGCTTTGTTTTGGTCTTCAAAGATGAGGGTAACGTCATCTGCCTACTTAGATCTACAAGGCTCTCACCATTAATTTAAACACTGGGGTTTAAGAGACCTTTCAGCGTCCGCCTCATTATTTCATCAGTAATGAAGTTGAACAAGGATGGAGAGAAAGAACGCCACTTTTAGTAGCGAAGCTTTTGAAGAGCTCACCACACACCCGCCCAGAAGTATGTGAATATAGGGATCGGATCATGTTTACAAACTTCTGGGGCATACTCTGTTGAACAAGTGTAGTTATCAGCAGAATCAAACGCACCCTTGAAGCCAAGGATACCAGGATTGTGGGCCGTCTGTACATGTGACATTGCTCTAACACCTGACGGAGTGTGAAGATGTGGTCAACACAGCCTCTATCCAGCCGAAATCCCGCTTGATTCTCACGAGTCAATGCTTTGCGTGCCACCGTAAGACGACGAAGAATCAATGACGCCAGAAGCCTTGTCACGATAGTCGTCAAACTAACACCTCTGTGGTTATTACATTTGGAGTACCCTTTTTTAAAATGGGCACTACTATCAATTCATTCCAGTTGTCTAGGACGGTTTGTTCCTCCCAGATAGACCCAAATAGGCAAGAAAGACACTGACTGAGAAGTCCAACACCATCCTTGAAAAGAGCAGGTGGAAGGTCGTCAGGACGAGCAGCACGACGACTCTTTATTATGGACATATTTTTGGACACTTCCGAGACCGAAGGCAGCTCCATATTGACAGTCCACCTTTCTGCTGAAGTTCAGAATTCTGGATTGGAGTTAGCAGGTGGCCAGCTGAATCGCTGTTCGAACTACTTTGCTTAGCGGTTCAAACGTTCTGCTTTGTTGTATATCAGGGAGCCATTTCGGTCCCTGATTATTTCGCTGACAAGAGGTTTCCGAGGACCAGTCGAACGAATAAAGTGGAACAGCCTGCGGACGTTTCCAGTATTCTTAGCATCATTTATTCGGTTTTTCAGGTCCACCGAGCTTATAGATTTGCACGGATACTCACTTTTACCTGACATCGGATGGTGCTTCGGGTGGAGTTGTGATTGCGACCAGGAGGAAACCGTCGCAGGGTGTCGATCAAAGACACGGTCCTATCAGAGATCCAGTGTTTAGATGAGGGTTGTGCCGCAAATAGGCGTTCCGGCTTTGAGTAGCACTTTGGATATCTCTTCCCAGTGGCCACCTATATCCGACATCGTACCGTCCGGCAGGCGTTCGAGGAGCTATTTCGGATGATTTCGTTTGACTTCTGGGTCCACTAGCTTCCCAATGGCTAAGCGAGGTGTGCGCGATTTGCGTATACCTGAAAAGCGCAATGAAAAGCAGCAGCGTACGAGTGCGTGGTGGGAGTCCACCTTGGTATTCCAGAAGGAGCGGCAGGTGGTGATTGACCCCCGCCACCGATAACTGATGGTGATATGATCTCTTTACAAGTTGAAGCTGGTTTGTTTGTGGTCACCGCGTTGTCAAGCGATTTCCGCTGTTCCGGAACTTCGTACTGCAAAGGAACAGTCTGTGATCGGCACACATCTGAAGTAAGCGGTCTCCGTTGTCCGTGCGCCTCGTGTCCAAACCAAGATGACCGCCCAATCGGGCCTCAGCAGCGCCTAGCCTACCTACGTGGGCGTTCATGTCCCCAGCTTTTAGCCCGCTGTAGAAGGGCACCTAGAGCGTCATAGAAGCTGTCTTTGACAGATTCGGAGCTACTGTCAATTGGGGCGTAAGCAAACAAAAAAGGTGTGATGGATTCTCTGACAGATGTTGCCGAACGAACCATACAGAGGTGACTATCAACGGGTATCCAATCAAGCAGAAACGCTTCCGGTCGGTCGCTCAATACAATACCCATTCCAGCATGTCCAAATGCAGCGGCCTCTGAATCACCAGAGGTGCGCAGCCTAAACCTGGTAGAGAGTGAGGGGCAGTCAGTTCGATCACAGTACTTGCGTCCTGCATTCTTGTTTTTGACACACAACATACACCAATGCTGAGAGAATCCAGCATATCAGCGAGAGCCACCTATTGTCTTTCTTGCTTCCGTATGCGAACAATAAAGGCTTTCGGGGTTTGAAGACAGACTTAAAAGTATTTAGGATTGTTACTGAAGTCGGACATACAGCAGCTGTAGCTAAGTGTGAGGCAGGACGAGCCAAATGGTCAGTCCTATTGCTGGACCTGCTGAGAGAGTATTCAGATTTGGGTGGGATAGAGTTAAAGAGGGAAAGCTTGAGGGTATA